CAGATACACAGATATACAGTGATATCGACATCTCCTGTAAATATAATATATGAATATGAAAATCGCCAAAAGGAAAATGCAATAAATGAGTATAGCCACACTACCTTATAAGTCTAGGCTAGAAGTCATAAGACCCTGGGCCGGTCCAAATATAGATAAACGGATATAGGTTTTAGTGATCTGTTTAATATAATAGCAGCCTCTGTGAATGGCTACGTGAAGAGCATCTTGCCTGGTGTAGAATTGTGATCCCACCACTATTACTACGCTACTAATACGAGCAAACCTTCAAAAAACTTAATAAAATAATGCTTCGTCGCGCATTTCAGATATAATGTACTGAATTTACAGTAATCCCTTTTTGGCTTAACAAAACAATAACGCGTTGAACTTTTTATAGTGTTAAAATGATTTACAACAAACTATTGACGCAACATGACAATAAACGAGATGACACAAGCTCTGTTCAACCCTAACCAAACAATTTCTGCTACCGACATGTAATTGTTTAACTAACATATTTTATTCTATACATCTACACTAATATTATAAAGAGGAAAGATTTGTATTTTTGTATGTTTGTAACGAATAAACTCAAAAACTACTGGACCGGTTTAGATAAAATTTGGTAAGAAGATGGTTTGAGACCCTGGGAAGGACATACAATATATTTTATTCCAGGAATCATTCTTTAAGGGGGTGAAAATGGGGATGAAAGTTTGTACGTGGAATCAACCTAGGGACGAACATGATTCGCTAATTATTTAAAATTTGAAGGTATCATCAGGTTTTTAGTAAGGCCTAGAAATTTAATTTTGTATTGAAATAATGCAATGTCTCATGTGAATGCTATATCATTAAATAAATTATACAAATTTAATATGATAACAATTTCTAACTTGTTTTACATAACAAAATCGGTCAAGTAAGTATCGGACTCGCATACTAGTAAGTACTACCGACAAAAAATATTAGCGATATACGTTTTAGGCTCTTAAGGTCACTGACACTATTTTCATTGATAAGTTGACCGAGCGAGCGAAGCGTCTCTGCTTCAAGTCTGGCAAAATTTGCTTTCCTGTGTCAGTTTGTTAGTACTCCTCTACAGATAGTATTTTACAACTGATCTGAACAAAACTTGGTATACGGGTTTTACGACTTTATAGAAGACTAGCATTGCCCGCGACTCCGCCCGCGTTCAGATGACCAAAAACTAAATTCTTAGGTTGTACATATTAGTTCACTCTTTCATTGCAGTTTTTGTTTTTTTTTTTCTCAGCAATGAGATATTTTCACGCATTAAAAAGTATACGTATCCCTATCTATCCTATACGTTGACCCGGATATCCAGCTATCACCATACCAAATTTCATCAAAATCCCTTTAGTGGTTTTTTCGTGATGCGGTAACAGACAGACAGACAGACAGACAGACAAAAATTCTAAAAACTATAGATTCGGCCTCTGTATCGATTATAATGTCTATTTCAATAAGATTTTCCAAAAAATATTTAATGTACAGATTCGGCTTAGTTACAATTTTATTATATGTATAGATAATTTTTTTGTCGTCGGGGATTTTTGATTGTAGGGGTACTTTCTCCAAAAAGGCGCAAAATGGGGGCTACTGGATAGCCTTTTTGTCTTATAAGATCCGATTTCGATGGTTCTTTTTCATTAGTAGCAGTAATTTTAAGTTTGTCTCATAATAATTTGGTGAAGATTTGATAAGGATTTTCGGCACGAAGAGCAAAATAGCAACTGTTCGCAGAACTACTAGTTAATTATTATTATTAACTTTGCAATCGCCATGGTCCTGGATACTCGTGCAAAATGGTGTTTTTTACAAGAAACTCAAAAATAAAAAACAAAACAAATTGAGTAAATGCCGTTGCAAAACACAAGAAAACAATCTAGCGTTACATTTATCAATAAAATTAGCTTTAATTTTGAAGCAATGACCTCAATTTTCAGTAACTTTTTGCTATAGTGGGAATCCCGGGAAAAACACATAGTGTAACTCTTTGACTTAATGTTTTGTGAGTAATATATGTCATATAATAATTAATAATATATATATATATATATATATATATATATATATATATATATATATATATTATTATATATATATATTATATATATATATATATATATATATCTGAATATTCATAATTAGTTTTCAATTATCAAGTTATACCTCATGGGTCACATATAAACTAAAAAAGTATCTTCTTAGAAATCACTGCATCTAGTTTAAAACTCTACCCTGAACCTTTGTATGAGTCTATAGGATAGAATAAAATACACTTGCGGTGCCGAGACACAAAGTTATTATAAAATAGACAAAATATTAAAGTAAGTTTCAACTCTCAATTTTCACACCCTATAGATTTCAAAGTCGTAAAACGTAGCTGTACGTAAAGGTAAATTAATTGGAAGTCATTGAATAAATACAATAAACAATATGAATTTACCTAAATAATAATTTATTACTGAAATTAAAATTAAAAACTTTTTATTCCCCACTTTATATACCTAATTAACAGAGCGTAACTGAGACTTTTTTTCTAGTATTCTTAAAATGTAAGAAAATTTGACTCCTCATAAAGTTACGATAATAAAGACTGGAGTTTTTCTTCAATTTTATTAAGAATTATCCCCTAAGTCCCAGTCTATTCATTAAATAAAAAAAGCAGTCATGAGGACTGTCGACAGAAGTGAAAACTTAAAACTAAAACACTTGTTATTTTTGAATATTCAAATTAATTGTTTGATCTTAAATTAAAATTAGTAAATTAAAACTGTTAACATTTATCTGGTTTTGACATCTATCGGCACTCTGAGTGTTAGCTTTAACACGTCACGTGACCATGTCGATAACGACTTACATGAATTTACTCCCCATCCAAACCTGCCTATAGAAGTTTTACTTCATATATTATACTTCAATAGTTAGAATTTTTTATAAAATATTTTCACATCTATTGCACAAAAATATCGTTTTCATAACTGAAAAAAGATAGTGTATTATTTTATGTATATGTGAGCGAGACAAGCTACATATATGTAATGCGTAAACGCTATGCATTACCATGATAACGCATAAATAAACTTATAGCTACAGATATAGTGTTAGCGGTAACACGTCACGTGACCATGTCGATGACGACTTACATGAATTTACCCCCCACCCAAACCTGCCTATAGAAGTTTTCATTTCAAAAAACAATAGAATCAGTTTCCAATACACAAAAATACAGCGTATCATTCTTCAAAACTTGTTCTTACATTTGTTTCTATATTTAGAAATTCATTCAAACATAAGAGTAATAATAATTTAGGCAGCCGCCGTTTATAACTCACTTGTCAGTGGTCATGGAACAAATAGACGGTAAAATTTTGTTTTCCAAGTGTCCCCCACTCGCGTCGCACCGCGTTCACCGCATCTGACGTTTATTCGTTTAAAGGGTAGTCTGGTTGCTAGTTTACAAAGCGCTAAATAAAGTTGACATTTAAATTTTGTTTGCAGTCAGTTTGTAGTGGTGTGCCTTCAGACTTTATTAATTTCATTATTTATTCGCAATTTTAATTTGTTTTTAGGTGCCAGATATTTTATTCCTAATGACACAACTCAACTAACGACTTACTCTATCTCAAGGTGTGTCGCTAGGTGCCTAAAAGTATGCCTATACGTTACTTCAGGTCATATTTTAGTCTCCCCCCCAACGTTCGTTCACCTTGTCGTGGTGGGGGGGCTCAGTAGTGCCCGGCAATCCAACCAGGCGCGAAGCCAAGAAACGCACAGGGAGGTGGCCCACTTCGGTGGGAGGTGGGAGGTGTCCCTCTTCGATGGGCGGTGTACCGTCTGGGTTGCTCCTGGTACTTCTCTGATAGCAGAATGGACCTTGGAGCAACCCCATGGTTGTAGTGGTCTGCTTCGGCAGACCTGCCGTCGGGGCGTCGTAGTTGAATGCGTAAGCGATCCTGCGACGCCCCATTAAGACGGGGGAAGGTTTTGTTGGGTTTTAGTGGATAGTACTGCCTTTATTACGCCGGTGAGTCCCACACCTCGTGCGTAAATGCGTTTCCTAACGTTAAAAAATAAGGTCATAATTTAGTCAAATACAAGTACTAAATTACATCTAAATTCGTTCAGCCGTTTCATCGTAAGGAGTAACAAACATACACACATACAAACTCTTGGCTTAACTTACATTGAATTTATTTTATTTTTAATAGTATGAAATGTACATAAGCAAATAAGTTTCTATTATGGTATAACACTCGTATATTACAATTTCGACTAAAATTTACTTGTCAGCTAAATATCATATTTTGCTATTTCAGTTTGATTTGTGAATATCGAATTTGATTATAAAGAGCTTCTAATCAATAACATACAATTATTGTTAGGCTTGAACAGTATTATTATAACAGTCCATTATAAATTCTACTATATCAGTATCAAACGTGTCGATTGGGTTGACATTTGTGGAGTTTAAAGTCTATTCTACATATGTATTATGTAGATTAATTATAAATAGTGATCCCGCTATCTTCGCCTGTGTGCTGTATTTTAAATAAGTTATCATTATGTTTCTTATAGTGACTCTTTGATTATGCATAAAACTATTATATTATGTGTTCCGTTCGACATCCGAAGTCCAATTATGAGAGAGTACATCAACCTTTTCCGTCGCTTTCCGCTAGATTACTTCCTCTTCCGTTACAATTTGTGCTTTTAGCGCCAGCCGTGGCCAAAACTGAAACTAACTTTTGCAACCTGTGTAAGGCAAGCCGCCATTTCTAAAATCATTGTTGCGTCATTTTTTGAGTTGCACGCATCGCTAGATTTATTAGAAAACTTGTTTAAGAAAAACGACCGTTGTGTTATATTAAAGTTTTCAAAAGTAGAAATATTGTTTAAACTTTCGAGATTAAAGTAGAAAGTTACAGTTTTATTCCGTTACGTTAAAGTATTGTGTTTTAAATCGTAAAATGGACAACAGTGAGAAAAATACCGAGCCAGTGATTAATAATAATGTGGACGTTTTTGGTGATTGTGATTCGAATCGGTTGGAGAAAAATACTCACACGCCTTCAAGTGAATCATCGGATTCGAATTCAAGTTCGAGCGAGGAAGATGAACCGCCGCCAAAGCGACGACGTCATAGTCGGTCTTCCGATTCATGTCAAGAAATCGATCGCAGGTTTGATCAGTTATCGCAGCAGTTGGTGAGTCATATAAATAATTTATTTTGTGTCAATTACGCTACGATGCATCCGATATCCACGAACTCCTCGTTTCCTATGGCGGCTGCTTCGACAGCAGTAAAAAATTCGCTCGATGACCCGTTTTTAAGGCCAGTAGGTGAATTAAAAGATATTGCCGAGCTAAATGTGTCTGTCAAGGAACCAACTATGCCAAAGGCAAATCCTGATCGGGTTGCAAAAATAGCGTCAATGCAAAGATTTGATTCTCTGGATTGGAATTCTGTTCGGTACACCGAGGTGCAAAAGAAATACGTAGCATTCCCGGCATTTTCTGAGCTAAAAGTAAATGAGGAATTGAGGCGTTTAGAAGATCCTTTTGCTCCGCTCAGATGGTATCAGATGGAACGCAGTTTTGCTGCCTTGTCTAATGCCTTTTTAGCTCAAAATGAATGTGTTAATATTGCATTAAAACATTTAATAGACTGGGCCGCGAAACCTGATGCGCAATTAACTTCAAATTTAATTTATGATAAATTAAAAGAGTTATTTGGAAACGAATCTAATTATAAGGCTGTATCTCACGACATTTTACAATTAATTTGTGGAAAACGTGCAGAGGTATTAGAACTACGGCGTAAAGCTTTGCTTAAAGGTTTAAAGGGAAAGTATATACGGGAAGATATCGATAAAATACCTCCTTCGATAGAATATATGTTTAATCCTCAAAGTTTATCGGCTTATATACAAAAAATAGGCGGATTAGACAAATTAGATAAAGATATAGGACCTCAACTGAAACCTGTGAGACATTCTAAATTACCAGTGACTTCTAAATCACCGATTGCTTCTACATCTCGGGAAAAACCCTCCTTTCGTTTTCAACAAGTCAAACCAAAGCAAAGGAAAAATAAGAGACAAAATTTTGACGAGCAAGTTAAAAGGGGAAGGGGGGGCCAAAAGGATGAAACTAACAGGAGTAGGCGCAAATGACTCGAGGTTTGTGGGCGGCTGTCTGATGTTTTATCAAGAGGTGTGGGCCAAGTTTCGGCCACCCAAAACTATTCTCAAATTAATTTCTGCCGCCCGTATTCCATTCAATCAGACGCCTCCTCTAATTTTTCCATCGCCGGATGTCATGGAAAGATTTCAAACACAGAGTTCCTTGATAATGTCTTCAGAGATAGAAACCATGATTCAAGATCGGATTCTCGAAGCAGCCCCTTTAAGTCCGTCATTTATATCCCCGCTTTTCATTATAACAAAGAGCAATGGAAAGAATCGGGTTATCTTCAACCTCAAGGCATTAAATCAATTTATACAACCAAGGCATTTCCATCTGTTTCATCATCACAAAATGCCAACATTTCTACAAGCAGGCGACTGGATGGTGAAGCTGGATATAAAACAGGCCTATTACCATTTACGAATTTCTCAAAGACATCGTTGTTTTCTACGCCTAAGTTACGAAGGTCGGCTGCTGCAGATGACATGTCTTCCATTCGGCCTTGCTGCAGCTCCGAGAATGTTTGCATCAGTTACAAATTGGACTGCCGAGATATTACGCAGCAAGGGTCTTCGCCTAATTGTCTACCTAGACGATTTTTTAATAGTCCACCAAAGCAAAGCAACATTAAGATTACATGTTCATATTGCCTTAAAGTTTCTCACCTCCCTAGGTTGAATATCAACGTGGAAAAATCTATTCTGAGGCCAACGAGGCGTTTAGAATTCCTAGGGATTATCTGGGATACGCAATACAACTCCAAGAGTTTGCCCCCAGAAAAGGTAGCCAAGATTCGTCAGTGCTTATGGGCTCGCTTGACAGCAGGCAGTTGGACCCTCAAGCAGGCGCAACGCCTCTTAGGGTATCTCAATTTTGCGACCTTCATCACCCCTCGGGGAAGGTTGCATTGCCGAGTGCTTCAGCGCCACAGCAATTGTTTACAGAAAAATTCTCGCCGGCCAATCCCGTTCGCAGACGAAGTGCGCGGGGAATTAAAGTGGTGGTTGGAAAATATCGACCAGAAGTCTCATATTCACCCAAGGAACTTACCTGTCAATTACCTCGTCACCGACGCCTCGGACATTCAATGGGGGGCACTAGTAAACAACAAAGTAATAAAAGGTTGCTGGAGTCAACATCAGCTGAAGTGGCACTGCAACTTGAAAGAAATGTATGCTGTGATAGCAGCCATATCTCTGGAGGCAAAGGCTTTAAGAAATTCAACAATAATGTTACAGAGCGACAACAAGACAGTTGTGTCGTATATAAAAAATCAAGGAGGAACCAAGTCGAGGAATCTCTTGACATTGACAAATCAGCTCCTAGCACTAACGGACAGCCTGAATGTTGTACTAATCCCTCACCACCTTCCGGGACTGTACAACACGGAAGCCGATCAGATCTCTCGGAATCGAATCGGTACCGAGTGGCACCTGCTAGACGAGGCAACCAACAAGATATTCGGCCGGTGGGGAACTCCAGATATCGATCTGTTCGCCTCGCGAAAGGCTCACGTAGTGTCAGATTATGCTACTCTAGACTTGTTAGACTCGAGCGCCTGCTTTCACGACGCTTTCAGCAGATGCTGGAGCTACGACCTCGCCTGGATATTTCCTCCACCAGCTGTACTTCCGCGGGTGTTACGGCATCTCAACTCCGCAAAGGGAAGGTTCATAATTGTTGCACCCAAGTGGAAGAAACCCTTTTGGAGGCCGGACTTGAAGAGCCGCGCCCTAGCTCGTCCAATGAAAATCAGGAATCTGAGAACAACATTAGTGGACACAGTGACGGGGCGTCCTCCAGCTCAAGTTCACAACCTACAGTTGGAAGCTTGGCTCATTTCGGCTGGGACTCTCTAACACAGGACTGGTCCGCTGAGGAAAAGCAACTTTTGTCAAGATGTTGGAGAGCATCCACACTTAAAACTTATACACCAATATGGAACAAGTGGTTTCTATGGTGTAAGCAAAATAAAGTGGACTATCGTCGTCCTGCACCTGCCAGTGTAGCCAGGTACTTAGCTAAACTTTTTCTTAAAGATAGTTTATCATACCGTACCATTCTGGTACATAAGTCAGTTATAGCTTCAGTCTGTGAAACTTTATCGGATATAAAGATTACATCAAATCATTTAGTTAAACATATTTTAAAGGCCGTGTCATTAGCTAGACCGGCTCCACCGAAATTGCAAATATGGGATGCAAGAATAGTAATAATTTTTTTTGAAAAATACAAATCCTAACTTAGATAGTTTGTATGATGTTTCTAGGCGAACAGCGATTATATTGTTATTGGCTTCGGGTCGTAGAATACACGACTTAACTCTCCTGCATTGTGATCCAGAACATTTTGTTGACAGTGGGGATTCAATTATCTTGCATCCTATATTTGGCTCGAAAACTGATACGGCAACTTATAAACAATCAAGTTGGAAGTTACTGGCTTCGCCTGATAGAAATACTGACCCCTTGTTTTGGTTAAGATCATTGATACGCATTTCGGAAAATGTTCGAAGTAATTTGACCAATTTATTCATAAACACAAGAGTTCCTAGTAAACCAGCTAGTCCTGTAATCATTGGGGGTTGGATAAGACGTATCCTTTCTGAAGCTGGGATAGAGGCTACGCCAGGTAGTGTTAGGTCAGCTGTGTCATCTCTTAATTGTTTAGAGAAGTACCCAGTTAACGAGATTTTAGCTAAGGCAAATTGGCGCCATGAAAATACCTTTCGAAAATATTATTATAGAGAGATTAAAAGTAAAGATCATAATAGTAATGTTGATTCAGAAAAGTCACTATCTAGATTGTTTGCAGTGTCAAATTAATCATATTTTTAGTCATTTCAGTCCTAAGTTTAAATATTTGTTTAAATATGTAGATTAACTTATAATTATATAGAATGCTCTGAATTACTCAAAATGCATAATCTTGAATCCTTAATTGGTTAATTTTATTAATAAAATTTTAAATAATGCCAATTGTATGTTTTTTTTTTTTTATAATCACATTGTTGCGTTCTATTTAGCAAGCCACCAGGAGATAACAAACAGATCTCTCATAATTGGACTTCGGATGTCGAACGGAACACATAATATAGAAATTTTACCTGAAAATAAAATTTGTATTATGTTTCCTAAGACATCCGAAGTCCAAATAATGCCTTCCTGGTGTTTATCAGCATCATTTTCATTATGAACCGAACAATGATTTTAGAAATGGCGGCTTGCCTTACACAGGTTGCAAAAGTTAGTTTCAGTTTTGGCCACGGCTGGCGCTAAAAGCACAAATTGTAACGGAAGAGGAAGTAATCTAGCGGAAAGCGACGGAAAAGGTTGATGTACTCTCTCATAATTGGACTTCGGATGTCTTAGGAAACATAATACAAATTTTATTTTCAGGTAAAATTTCTATATTATTGTTTTTTTAGTAGCAGTATTCATCCTATCTCTAGCAGATTTACTGGTCGGTCAAAATTTTCAAGATAATGTAAGTACCTGTACCAATTCGTATACAAATAGAAAATCACAAACGACCGGATATTATGTGGTCTTAAATAAAGTCCAAACATATCCTGATTGAACACGTTGACCAAGTACGGGTTGACTGTATTCACATATCTTTCGAAAACTTGCTAGGTTCTCTCAAACATGTAGGTTTTTCTCACTATAGTTTCCGTCACGGTAAGAAGTGTTAATCATGTTGATAATGGTTCGCAGATGAAAATATCCAATTTGCGAAACTCGTGATTTGAATCTGCTTCACTCGGTTTCCCAAGCAATCGCAGAACCACTGGGCTACCACAGTTTTTTTTGAAACAATAATAATTAATATTACAAGTAGATTTTTGTTAGATAAAGTTCAATATATGTACATTAAAGTCTTTACATTACGTTTATATGTTCTTCCATTGGTAAACAGACCTAGACCTGGTTACTGCCAGTTGAATGAGATAGATTAAACGCTTACTCGAATGAATGTAGTTCTAAAGCGCTA